GTGTGTGTGTGTGTGTGTGTGTGTGTGTGTGTGTGTGTGTGTGTGTGTCTGTGGTCCCATCCCCCCTGCAGTAATAGATCTGGGATTGGATTAAGTATGGCAGCTCTGAGTCTGGTACATCACACTTCACAGTCTCAGCCACTATCAGCTGACTAAAAAATTACAAAGCCGGCTCCAGATAATGACTAAAGATGTCCTTGCCAGACTGGAGGATGTGCAGCAGAAGACACAGAACCACATTAACACATGTATGCATGTGCACACATACACACACAAACACGCAGATGATTAGGGATGCACCAATTCATTAGCATATGCTCTATCAATAACCATAAATGAGATGTCAAAGCAATTTACAAGACCCGAAAAGCCAATATATGTGTACATGGTGGGGGCTGCTGGATTGCACCACACTCCTCCATCATCCCCTCTGCTTGCAGACCACACTAACCTCGGCACAGACAAGTTAAATTGCCTTCATGTTGAATCTTGGTTTAGTGTGATATTGATTTCTTGGTTTCAGCTCCTTTCTTCCACTTTCTGTCAGTTTTTTTCTTTTCCATTCTTCAGCTCGGGCCATGATTGTGGCAAATGAATACAAAATAAATTAGGATCAAAGGATACGGATCGTTGCGATAATAATTTTGGAAAAAACAACAGTCCCTCGTCAGTTCCTTGTGAAACCACAAATTCAGTTCCCTAAATCGAGATTTTTGGTCAGGTCTGCACACAATTGCACACAAACATAAATACCACTTCCCTTAATGTGCCAGAAATGTTTTTCATTAAGTTCCATTGATTATTTTCTGAGAAATCAAGGAACATATTGCAAAATGTCAAAAAAATTGCACAATATTAAAGAAAGTGATAAAAGATCCTGGATGTGTCCTCTGATAAAGAACTGCTCATAAACATAACCTCCTTGGTTACGTTTTATATGTGAGGATTGGCTGCTTTTTTCTGTTATATATGATATGAATATATATGACATCAATTATGTTTAAGCTGATAGAATCTTTTGGTTCTGGACTGTTGGGCCAATGACACAATTTTAGATTTAATCAAGACAGTAATATGCTAGGTGAATAAAGGTGTAAGTTAATTAGTAAATAGGTACATTTCTTTTTATCAGGTTTACATCCGACAGCCAAAATTCCTAAAGGTTGCTCATCTGGTGAACTTTTCCAACATCCGTCTGTCCATCCATCCATCCATTATCTACACCACTCACACCCAAGCAAACTCCATTCTGCTGAACTTCTTATTCCCTTTTTTATTATTAAGTTGTGTATTTGCAGCCTCACAGCTGGTTTATCCAAGAGAAGAGATGTCACCAGTGCCTGTTTGTATGAGGAAAAGTTTCCTGCCAAGCTCCTGACGGTGATCCATCAAAAATCCCACACAACAGTGACACCTTTAATGTAACACCTCGCTTTGTCGACTGTACCTCTACCCATGGACTCTCTCTCACTTTCCCTCCACATTCTGCTAAACACAGCAAAGTGACACGAAATGGAAACAGTGAGGTATTGACTGTCACAGGCTGGGCATTATTCTGTTTGGGTTCCCCTGTGAGACGGGGCCTTCAACACACAAACAAAGGGGATCTGTGGCGAGCTTGACATTTCCATTTAGCTCTTGCCAGCTTGCACCGGGTTGCCCATTCATTTCAAGTGACTCCTGCTCTTTGCGTTGTCTCTGGGGCCGAGGGGTTTTGGAGGGGAGGGGGTCGGATGGAACTGCTCGGCATTCTGCAGGTATAGAGGCACATGCTGGGCTCATCTCAGTGGGGGCGGACGAGTTGCGAGGGATGAATGAGCAGAAAAGAGACATGAAGAGGACACACAGAGGCATCCATGTGTGCATACAGAGAGATCGGCATTGCACGCCTGGACTAAGACGTTCAGAGACACATGTCCCCACATTTTCTCCTTTTTCTTGTTGCATGGAAAGATAAGTGTTATCAGCTGGGAGGGATTTTGAATGACATACAATTAGAAGATGTGCATTTATCCGTCTTTCTGTCCACGTGTGTGAACCTTGTGCATCTATTTGTGCCGCCCCCCCCCACTACTCATTTAACGAGGGAGAGGACCAGTGACGTTGACGTTAGCTGGAAAAGAGAAGGCAAAGCAAACTCCCTGAGGTGTATGAGGCCCACCATTGAACGGACATGTACAGAAGGGCTGTCGACAAATGACACCGGCTGCTTAACCCCTCCAAAGCGGTGGTAAAACACAAGCTGCTGCCACCTCCCCACACACTATAAGGCTTCATCATGGACCTTGCATACAGGATATTCTACCTAAAAGATAAATAGAAGTGGAAGCGAGCATTGACATTTTTTTTTCCATCATCTGAAGGAAATTGAGGTTTGGCTTTGATGTCTTATCTGGAGGCTAATAAGATGAGAGGTGAAGAGAAAAGGTGGGTGAGGAAGGTCACAGAGAGTTAAAGAGAGAGAGAGAGAGAGAGAGCATGAGATATAGAGAGTGAATGGAGATGAAGATAAGATGGAAAGACAGAGAAGGAGGTATGGAGGAGAGGAGTGTGGTGAGGAGGTGGGAGGATAGGAAGAGAGGCGAGAGACAGGGGGAGGGGGTGATATCAAAGCTTGCTTCAAAGGTCACTGGCACTTTGTTCCTGATGACAACCATTTCCCTTTTGTTTTCTCGAAGTGTCAGTCGGACATGAAACAGGGCGATTCCCTAATTCAGCCGAACAAAAACCAGGAACGTGTCCCCTCGACCGAAAAAAACAAAACATACATTGAAGAATAAAAATGTAATTTTTCTGACATGTTTTTACAATAAAGAGTAAAAATATGATTTTGTCATAGAGCAAAATCACCTAATGTTTTCATCCCTTTTCATTTACATTGAAGAGTGAAAAGTGATGGGACGAAAACACTTTATCGTGAGCATAAGCTTAATTAGAGATGTGAGAATTAATGTGGACGATTAGGAGAAGCTCATAAAAAGGAAACCATAGCGAGAGAAAGAATGAGCACAAGAGAGGAAGCGATATGAATGGTGAAAGGTTATTTAAGTTTAATGGGCATATTAAGAGAAGGAGGCCCTGGTTGCTGCTAATGATATTGATGCTCTGCTGCCGGCTGGCCTCTCCAACCAATCAATGTACACTCAGGCCACAGTGAGTCAACGTCCTTAACTTCACCATCTGTAGTGTTACATTTTCATTTGAAAACAGCATTTTCAAACGATCTCCATCCACACCAGAGTGTTGATCCCTGTTGATATGCACCTCAAAATCAGAATCAGTAAAGGCTGCATTGTGACCTATAACAGATCCGATCAACAGGCAGTTTTGAGTGTCGACGTCCTCTCTGTTTCGTGTGGACGCAGTGAAAGAGTTGGAAATAAATGTAGTTGTATGGTTGTAGCCTAACTCTGCTACATGATATTGTTGACAGTAGAATAATCCGTACATGGCACAGAGCTCGTACCTCTGCCAAGGCCCAACAGTCAATTAACCTGCTCCACATTTCACACACTCATAAATAGTTTCCTAAATATGGCAACATAGCAAGCTCCATTAATTATTCTCTGTGAAAACTGTGACAATCTGACGTAGAAAAGAAGAGAAGATGAGAAGAAGAGGAGGAAAACAAAACATTAAAACAATGATCAGATCACAGCACTGCTGTTATCCTCACATTGATATATGACAGTGACATACAGGGTTTTAGGTTTTCAACAGCAGGGACAGCATCTTGTTGTCAGCTCTGTCACTGCATCGACAACATCTCTAATTTATTGCCTCAAACAACACCTTGCCTCCTCTGTCCTCCCGTGGCCTCTCAGGCTCTTCACCAACATGATAATCCGACATTTTCACAATGCCTTTCCCTCCCTCCCTCCCCCTTCCTCCCCCTTTTCCAAAACTGGAGACAAACCAGATCGCGAAGAAATCTCAACTTCCCTTTGTTTGATTTACTGGATACTCTGTCTTTTCTCCACTCTGTCCATGCTTCAACATAAACCTTCACATCCTCTCCTCCCCTGTTCTACCGCCCAAACTTAACCTCCACTTTTAGAGGGATAGCATATTAGCAGGCCTCCATCCCACCACAGATGCCATTCCACTGGTGCAGGTTGACAGATCAATGGTGCAAACTGAAAATCAATGGGGCCCATCTCTTCATTAAGTATGGCCAACACAAGGGCCAATACTGTGACACGTAGCAGACGGTTGTTAGCGCTGAGAATCATCGACCCTTTTCCCTTGGGTGGGTGGATAAGTGGAAGTGGGAGGAGATGTTTTCCAATTCGTATGTGCGCAGTGAGAGGACACACACGTTGGGGTGCATAAGTGGAGGAGGGATGCTCTGAAAGGCTTGGAGCATGCAAATGAAAACACAAGCACACCAACACTTGCTGTCAGGTTCAACACCTAATGTGACACGAGGACACCTGAACCAGTTTCCTTGGAGTAAAAGCTCTGAAGAAGCAAACGAAAAGAACAACATATACTGTTTTTTCAACAAATCCACCAAGTTACAAGACCAAACACGTTGTTTGTATCAGCCCACAGAACGACATGGATGTTTTCTGATCAACTTCATTTGTCTTTGAATTCCAGAACCATCATCAACACTTCAGACACCAATGTGGTCAATGTATTGTTGAAATAAACCAAATATTGTATTATGGCCTTAAGTTGAAATGACTGATACTCTTGTTTTTCTTGTCACAACAGTCTGACTGTTTCCAAGGTCAAAAACAAACTTCTGTAGACGACTGTGCTCACAGTCTTTGATTTGAAGTCGTTGAAAGTCATGAGACAAATATTAACTACGGAGCACAAGAACAACTTTTTATACTTATACACAATCTGAATTCAGGTCTTTTTTATACTTATACACCAGATTTAATATTAGAAACTATAAAAACATGTCAATTTTGTCATTTCTACACTCATACTTTCATATCCAAGCTCAAAATACTGTGTAACTTACACATTTGTTAACAAAAACCTAATTAGCTCATAAAATATTAAATATAAAATGTTTGAAAATGACTTGAAAGTGTTCGACCCCTGCTTTTCAGTTGTCTTTAACGCTGAACGCACCTCACAGATTATTACAAAGCAACTGCATTTATGCCATAATGATTTTTTTCAAGTGCGTTTCATAGAAATGTGGATGCACTGCGCGGAGAAATGTTATAATGCATGAGTGGGCTGACTTGGCTCTGATATTCAGAGCAGCTTCTCTTGCAGGTCCAGTTACGTCTCACAGAGAATCACTCATCAGCTGATGGTACAGTTTGTAGTTTAAGTGCTTGAAGACGAACTGTACATTACAAAGAGCAGGCTTCACTCGTGCAATCCTGGCATGTTCGAGACCGAGGCACAGGGCCCACTCCTTCATTGTGCTGCTTGCTATGCCAGCACACGTCTGTTCTGTCTCGATTAGTGTGTAGCGAGTGGAGGGAGAGGCAAAGAGAGAGAGAGAGACAGAGAGAGAGAGAAAGAGAGAGAGAGATTAATTAAAAATGTGACAATTCGTCTCAGCTCCGGCGTCTGTAGCTCCCCCACTCAGGGCTCGGAGGTGCTACTTCACTGGCTCTGCTGTTATTAATCTCTCTTTCCCTCTCTCGCTCCTCTTCCTCCTCCTGCTCTGGCTGTCCTTCCCTACACTCCACTCTCCACCTGTTTGTCCCCTTTTGTGCACAGCTTCTGGTTCATCATTTCCCGAGGTCACACAGTAATCTATTCCCCCACCACTTGACTTGCATAATCCATTCGCCCATCATATCGCTTCTCACCCTCAGATATGTGCTCTTGATGCTTGAAGTGACCCCACCACCTCTCTCTCTCTCTCTCTCTCACTCTCTCTCTCTCTCTCGCTCTGTCTGTCGGCAGCCTCAGAGGTCAAAGCCCATGGGAGCATGTGCAGCCCTGTTGCTGTTAACTAATAAAACAGTGGCTGTTGATCAAGGCAACAGCCTCCGATCCATCAGGAGTGTTTAATATGTGTGGGTCTGTAGGTCACACTGCTACTATTCACGCACGCTGCACTCATGAAACATTCATGATTCAGCTTGCGAGGAACGAGCTGTGTGATAATGATTGAATAAGTCGAAACTGGCTGCTGCAAAATATCAGCCGACTGCACTCGACCCTGCCATTAATACAGGCAACTATTGTATTATACTCCTATTGTTAGTCTGTGATTAAACAAACGGTCTCCAACGTGTTTGTAAAGAGGCAGCGGAATCAAATTAAACTGTGGGGAAACGTCTAATGACAGCAGAGAGAACTGCTTGTGCAAGACTTGACTTGACGTCCATGCAGGAGGAATAAATGGCTGAGAATTGATCCGGAGGAGAGACTTTCACTTTTACGGAGACAGCAAATCTGTGGAGCAACTGCAGTCTTGGCATGCAAACGCTCTTCACTTTGCCCCGCAGATTTGTTTTTGACCAGAACAGCTTAGGTTGTTGAACTCGAGTCTTTTATGAATAAGACGTTTCCCTCATGCAGAGGCAATAACAGTATAATGTAGAGCAATGTGCTGCAGTTGAATATCTTGTTAAACTTAAAGGTCCAGTGTGTAAGATTTAGGTGAAAGGGAACTGTTGGCAGAAATTTAATGTAGAATAATCCTCATGATGTTTTTACTAGTGTGTTTCATCTAAATTGTATGAAATGTAGTTTTCTTTACCCTAGAAAAGGTATTTTTATGTAAATATTTTATATTTACCTCTGTACGGAGGCCACCATGTTTTTTACATTAGTCCGGACTTACTAAAACCTTTTGAGTTTTCATGACAACTGAAGCTACCACAGGTTCTCTCTCATGTTTGGAAGGAGAGGGTGAGGTGAGGGGTGTTCAGCTGCAACATGCAACTTCAACACTCGATGTCACTAAATTCTACACACTGTACCTTTGAAAAAAAAAATCACAATAAATTGCAGTGTCAAATCTCAGCACTTTTCCATTTTATCTGACCTCCAGGTTTTCTCTCTCTCTCTTTCTTTTCTGTAAATGCATATACACACACACACACGCACGCACACACGCACACACACACCCCACTTTGCTTCCCTATGTGAGACTAGGTCAGTGCTGATAGATCACGCAGGGAGATGGAGGCAGTGAATGGCTCCGACAGTGACAAACCAGTCAGTGGTGAAGACACAACAAGGGCGCATCGTTCATTCAGGATCCATGTAAAACACCTGAGGTCAAACCCAAGTCATTCAACATATAATCATTACAAATCTATAACAACTCCAGGTCAACACAAAAGACATCCATTTTTATATGGCTTATTTTTTTAGCCAACCATGAGTCAACAATCAGACTTTAATGATGCTCTGCACATACTGTTGCCGTGTTTCCTCTTTTATTTAATGGTGCTTGAATGTTTCCTTCCGAAGAGATGAACAAAGGGACGGACATATGCGCAAACAAGTAGGTACAAAGAACAAATGCATGCACAGGTGATTGCCACAAGGTCAGAACGACAAATCAACAGCACTCAGGAGCAGATGTGGGAGACATGCACACACTCCAACCTGCAGACAAGTGCACAACAAATCAAAATGCAAAGCGTGACGTGCATCACACAGATGCAGGCTCCAGTCAAAGAATAAGAGCAAATTAACACTTAATGAGACGTGCATGTGATCAGACACACACACACACACACATGAAGGACATCTCTTACCTGGTAGGCCCAGACAGAGCAGGACACTGTAGTAGATGACAGGCAGCGGTCCGAGAGGGCATCCCTGGGCCACCCCAGAGGGGGGCTGCCCCGGGCTCCAGGTGCTCCCATTTGGGGGAAAAACAGGGAAGATGTGGCTGTGCTCCATGGCCTCTTCCTCGTCCTCTTCCTCAGCTGAGCTCAGAGTCAAGAAGCCCGGCCACACGAGCAAACTGCCTGGTTGCCGGTTTGGGAGAGAGGGTGCTCTGTCCTTGGCTGCCAATCAGCATGAGTGTGTGTATGGGTTCGTTTGCGCGAGACGGCAAGGTTGAGTGTCTGAGAAGGAGGAAGGAATGGGAAGAGATGGAGGAGAGAGTGTGTGTGTGTGAGGGGGAGAGGGAGACAGCAGACGGGGGAGATGTGAGAGATGATATGTGTTAGTGGGTGACGAAGAGGAGCGGAGAGGTGAGTGTGAAGGTAGAAGTGGAGATGGGAGGATGCAGCCGGAGTGTGTGATCGAGGGGGAATGAGAGAGAGTCGAGTGCGCAGCGGGGGAAGGAGGAGAGAGAGGAGGAGAGAGGGAGGGAAAAGAGGAAGGCAGATGGAGAGGAAGGGCACTGCAAAGAGCAGAAAGTGAGGGAGAGAGACGGAGGCTGAGGGAAGGTGGAGGGGTAACGTGTTCCCGACAGTGAACATCAGAGGACAATAAAACGAACGAGAAGCCAGATGTGACAGATGAGAAAAGATAAATGGAGGGTTAAGCTGACTGTAAAAAAAGAAAAGAAAAAAGGACAGTGTGTTCGCCCTTGTCATTTGGTTTTCATCTGTCAACGTGTCTCTTTTATTTCTTTATTCACTGCCCTGACTGTTGCTCTTCACCATTTGTCCACAGCTGCGTGCACAAGTGTCCAAACATGTGTGTGACATGCTGCTTCATGGAGACATTAACACAAACCTAACATGCAGTGCGAATGCATGTGACTGCACACGTGTGTAGGTGTGTGTGTGTGGGGGGGGCTATGCAGTGTGAACCATCTGAATCTCCAGCTAAGATGTGTTAATGAGCAGAAGGCTGAGCAAATATCTTCCTTTTAAAGCCACACACGCTCTTTCTGGTTTTTTAAGCTCATCTGTCCATTTTACAATCAGTTGTTTAGGCTAAAATTTGTTTTTATTTCTGAGTTGAAGAAACATCCAGAGCATAAGAACAGCAATGACAGAGTCCATAAACTAATGTTTTTCAAGGGAATTTGATAAATACAATATTGGAGCACAGTAATCGGAACAAATTATAAATTTCCTCTTGAACTTTCAAGAGGAAATTTATAATTTGGTCCGATTTGCTGTCTCATATTGAATTATTTAGCAGTTAAAAATGAAATCTATAATAATATGAGGAGGAAAAAATAGCCACAAATTGTAGCAAACAAACATTTGATATTTAGTCTTATGTCTGGGTGTTTTCACCCATGTCCATTTATGTTTTGGTGTTGAATTTCTAACGATGTAAAAGGACAAAAATAACAACAACCTCTAGTCGGCAAATATTTATAGTTATCCCTCTAATTTTCACTCTACTTTACCAACACTTGTAAACAGAAAAGCTACTGTATTATAGTTTTGAGTTACTTGTACATCACATCACATTTTAGCCATCTCATGTCATAAATCTACTCCAGAGGGAAAATACATCGAACTGAAGCTAAAGCTATTGTGTGGATATTATATAACATTATTAAAAGGTTGTCCAAATTAGCTTGTCTACCACCCACAGCACAAAAATAATATCAACCACACCAAATCATTAAAATAGTTAAATATTCATATATTTCATGATAACAAACGCCCCAACAGGAGGCATTTCTGCTTTTAAATCCTGGCCTGTGCACATTCACTGAAGCACAGGACTTTTACATAATGTCTTTAAAGACCCCAATTCATTGTTATAACCAGTTCTTCTCAGTAGAACTATTGGTAAATCATAGATATTATTCTGGAAAATAAACTTTCAAGCCATGGGGAATATGTTTTTTTTTTTTTACAGTACCTAGTGTGTGTGGTTTCTCCTCATTATTCTCACTGTGAATGGTTTATTGAGCACTTTGGGCCTTTAGGGGTTTGCTGTATGTGCATACAGCAGAACTGCTCTGGCATGAGCACAGTGAAACATCATGTCCATTTAGAGAGCTGTCAGCTCACTTTTTAGAGGCGAAGGCCACCACTCCACAGGTCCGAGCAGACAGAACCCCTCTGCTCTGCATGTGCCTGAGACCGTAACCTGCGTGTGATTTTAAAGAGCCATGAAGAAGGAGGGAAAAACAGAGGTTTCTGTTGGGAGAAAGGACCCGATGAGTCACTGAGCACGTGGAAAGGCAAGGGATCACAAAGAGGATCAGGAACATGATGGAAAAAACCTCAGTTATAGCATCTCAAGCCTCCTCTACTCATCAGATGGAGGGCACTGTAAGAAAAGATGAATTCATTACGGAGCAGTGCAATATTCTCTGACCTGTTTCTGCACTTGAGTCGGTTCGAAGGAGCAAAGGAAATGTGGGAAGGAGCGAGAGTAAGCAAGAGGAGTGGAAAGGAGCAATCACGCACCCTTAATTCTTTTCCCCTACATGTGAACAAATGAGCTGCAGGGGACGCAGGGAGAGGAGTGCCACTATTAAGTGTTAAATAAAATATGGCCTGCTGACGTGAATTGATAATGGAGAAATGTGGGACAGAGGAAGGTGATCCTTCAAGAATAGAGCGAGTAGCTGTGAAAGACCCCCACAGGGGCTGTGCCTGCCTGCTCTGCAGTACTTAATACAACATCATCATTGGTCCTTGTCACACAAACTCAATTACGTGTAATCTTGTGGCGCTTTGATGTGAGCGCGATTGTGTTGTGTGTGGGTTGTCATGTGCAGTTGGATCCGATATACAGATACTGTGCGTGCGTGTGAGAGTATTTCTGATGTGTAACTATAAAGTGGTGTTACTCTTCAGCTCCAAACCAGGGCAGGTTATGGTTGTTGTGTTTCGTGGCCATGCTTCCACTCGACCTGCACATGTGTGTATGAGGTCAGGTAGTGTGTGTATGTGTCACAGAGAGACAGGTTCCGTGTGCATGTGTGTTATTAATCCATTACATCATCATTACAGACATTGTCAGGGGACCTCACACCGCAGCTCCTCTGAACTGAACGATCACATGCACAAATGTGCAAAACACGTGCTTTGGTGTTATTGCTTCAAAAGCCACTGTAATTGTGAGCCATGTTGACGTTTATGGTTTGTTACCAAGCAGAACAGAGCGGATCTGTGTGGTGCCTCTATTTCATCACCGAGTTAATTATGTGCGGTCATTGAATATAAAGACCACTGGATGTTAACACTATGAAATGACAACAAGGGGAACAAGACAAAGGGCCTGCGTGGTCTGAGCTTATTCATATGAAGTACTGTCATAATGTACAATGCACATGAAGCTGCTTTCAGACTTGCACTGAACCCCAGAGAACTTCTGGATATTCTACAAAGGAGGTGCAGTGTGAACAGAAAATGTCTGAGTGAGAACCTCCGCACTTCCTGTGGACTTCTCCGGCCATCCCCCTAGAAAAAGTCAGCTTAAATCCCAGAGGAGCTGAGTGAGTGGATGTGTTGATGACATTTTTAACACGCATTTTAAGAAAGCTACATTTTCAGATGAAAAAGCGTTACCATACACATAGAAGACACAGATATAAAGAGAGTTTTTGGTGATAAGAGTGGATGCTGGTGTTGATGTGCTGTAAACAAAAATCTCTGCCTGCTGCACCAACCCTCACTAGTGCTCTGGAGATTTCTGTGTTGTTATGAACACGTCTGAGAAGAGAATCTCCCATTGAGTTGTTGTTCTTGAATCAATTCCACGGACATCCTCTGGAGTTCATGTCTGAAAACAACAAAGTATTTTTTCCAACCCACTTGAGTCGAGGCTTTCATCATATAAGAGAGGGCATCGTTTGGTCAAAAAATGATAGACGCAGGAAATCATCAAGTAAAAGAATGGGTTAAAGAAATGGTTGGACACACGTTTCCATTGATTTCACAGAGAATCATTGATTGGTTAAGATGAACCCAAACCAGGCTCGTTTAGGGGACTGATATCTATGTGTGAGTGCAGTTTGTTGCAGATCCAAATAAAAATCAGGTTTCACAAGGGGACTGTTGGGCCTTGGTGGAGGTATTTCTACTTGTTGAGATGTTTCCGTCTGGACCAAAGAAGCGGTGAACAGATGGACTGCCATCTTTAACACATGCTGCTAACATTTCAAGAAAGAAGAGAACCAACAGACGAAACACAAGGGAGAATAATGGAAACTCCAGCGTGCAGGGAGTCCCGGGGAATTTGTCACAGCAGCCTGTTAAATCCATCAGAAAGTTGTCAAGTATCAGGTAGCATTAATTATGGATGTCGTCTGTGATGGCTGGCCTGTTTGTTTATGGCCTGTTTGTTTAGTGTGCCTGCAAAATTGGACTCTGTATTTGAAGACGAATGTGTCAGCGAGGTCACACGTGAGCGCCGTGCTGCTCTTTTGTTCCTGCTCTCGTCCAAATAAGAGCCGGCGCCTGACGGATAATGAGGATTGGGAAGAAACAGGAACAACAGTGAGAGAAAGAGGGAGAGAGACAATACAACTGCAGGATGTTAAATAAAACATAAGGGATGGATGGATGACTGGAGGAGCTTTTTTATACTGCTGTTGTTGGAAAGCCAGCATGTACTGAACAAAATGACATGATTTCAAGTCGATAAAAAACAGATGTTAGACTGTATAGAGAGATGTATGACACGACCTGCCACAGTCATCATAAAAAGCCAAAACAGGAGAGGAACGCTGTGATTTTTGCATTGTGTTGGAGCCACGCTAGCGATATCTCACTCAACCAATTGCAAAGTCAGTCTCACCTGTCACTCATGATTTTTCACCGTCTTTTTAGAGAATAAAATGAATTATTAAAACCAAACTCACTGGAAGGTCTGACAAGACTACCTAGAATAACAGAAACCATTGTTGAGAAAAAAAAATTCTTTGGACCCTAACCCTAACCCATGTTGGACCAAACTATATTTTTTTAGTTCGGTTCATGTCCCATTCATTAACATGGAGGAGGCAGGGTTTATGGCCTATACAACAGCCAACC